AGCTCCGGGCCACTAGAGAGCGGCGGCTGCTGGCCAGGGACCCAGCCGTGACGGCAGCACCCCCACCAGCAGCACAGAAGTAAAGGTGGCAATATCGTGACCCCTACTACAATTGCCCGATCTCGTGGGGAAGACCAGCTCTCACGGTCCACGACGCGTTTTTCATGGCTGTGAGTTGGGTAGGCCCCTAGTTCTAGCCAAGGCCCTGACAGAGGTAGGGGCTAGAGGGTGCCTGGAAGGCCCAGGCCTGTAGTAGTTGAGTGCAGAGGTGCAGTAGTCCCTCCTGGGACTCCTGTATCATATGTGCTGCAGGGAGAGCTTTGCGCACGGGGCCTTGGCTCAAGGGTTCCCCTCACAACATGCTGCTTCCCAGGCTCTTTGAGGAGCATCCTTTTCCCCACCCCAGCCCTTCTAGGCCAGTTCTAGGCCCACTACAATGTGGCCCTGAATACTCCTCTCCAGTGCCTGGTGGGCTTCCCTGACGTGGGAGTCAGATGACCACCAGGATCCAGGCACCAGATTTCCCCCCCGAGAGCTGCGCAATCCACTTCCTACTGGCATTCAGGGGTATTTCTGGGGGGATTGCACAGAAGGGGGGTCTCGTTTGACTGACTTGACTTGTACATTTCCACATGAGCAGCTGCTTGTGCCCTAGCCCTGCCTTTGCTTGGCGATAGGGAGAGATCTGTCACACATAGTGAAGCGCAGCAGGCGAAGCACCACAATCACCACTGCAGAGTGTGAGAGTGTGTGAGGGGAAAACAACCTCTAAGTTATTCTGATGTTGCACATTAGATCACTAACTGTCCCACTGCAGGGAGAGACATAATAAGATGAAGAGTACCCAGGAGGGATGCTTTACTGCAGACAAAACCGTTCACCAGTCAACAGAACATGCAGACTCTGAGAGCCTATCCTAAGAGAGGAATGAGGGGCCTTTCATTGCTTCTCTGTCTGTGGCACTGTCTGCTTATTTATCCAGATGGTCTAACCTCCAGAGATGCCAGTCTGTCCTACATTCCCCACCCAGGACTGCATGCTTGCTCCAGGGGAAAGTGGATGTGACTTTCTGAAACCAGAAATCCACTCCAGGAAAAATGACACTCGGAAGTTAGTGTTATGCCTAGGTTGGACTGGCACATCAGGAGAAAGCTCCAGGGAAATCCGCCTGCCTGCCCCAGAGGGCAATATGAAAAGGGGTGGTGAGTGAGGAGAAGCAGGAGGTGGGCCAACAGTGGGAATAAGACAGAGAGAGAATGTGCTGCAGTGTGCTTGCAGGAGAGGGGATATCAGGAGGAAACAAGGGTTCCTGAGTTGCGGTTTTCATTTAGAGATGGGTTGCCAAAGCCAAAACCCTGCCTCTAAATACCCCCAATCTTTGGCGAGGTTCTGGTCCAGAATGGATTTGGGCCAAACCAAAACCCCAGATCCAAATACCCCTTAGCTTTGGGAGATTTGAGATCCAGATTCTAATTTAGTGTTTCTAAGCTGCCAATGGTGTTTGTAACCAGCATATTTTTAAGAGCAGGTTGGACAAACACCTGTCAGGGATGGTCTCGATAATACTTAGTCCTGCCTTGAATGTAGGGGACTGGACTAGATGACCTCTTGAGGTCCCTTCCAGTTCTATGATTCTATGAAATCAACAGCTGATTGGCACTTAAGTAATTCCACTCTCTGATACAGACAGACGCACAAACTAGACAGAACATGGGGGAAGTTAAAATCCAGATCTGAGTTTTGCAGCTCTGGCCCATCTCTCATTTCTGTAGAAGGTTGCTGTTTATCTTGCCTCAGATATAAGAGAACTGATTTTTTTTAAGTCCTCTGAAAAAGGACTCCAAGTATAGCTGGAGATTCCAGGAAAGCCTGGTTCATTTTTCAACTCTGGCTGAAGAGTCCCTGTTGCCGAGTAATTCTGCCCAAGATCAGTTCTCCGCCTGCAGTTCAGCAGTTTGGTAGCATCTGAAGACAGGGGCCAGGGCTATGTGTGACAAGGTGTACCAAAGAATGTGTTTCATCTTGCTGGGTGAGATTACCAGTGGTTCTATGAATAGAAAGCAGAGAGAAGAGCTGCAAAAGTTGGGGGAGAAGAATCTTTTGGTAGTTTCCTACCATCAGCCTATTGTATACAGAGTACTGTGATGGCTGGTCTGTGCAAAGATAATTCTGTAGGCTTAATGGGTGGAAGGAACATAGAAATTGCCATCTTGGGGCATCCCTCTGGGGCACCTGACACTGGCCACTGTCAGAAGACAGGATACTGGGCTAGATGGGCCTTTGGTCTGGCGCAGTATGGCCGTTCTTATCTGGTCCAGCACTGGCCATTGTCTCAGGCTACAGTGGACGTTTTAGGAAAAAATAGTAATCTACCTAGTCCATTTTTTCCATGCTGTGTATGGATGGAGCTTGATGGAAATTCCTCCCTTACCCCAACTCGTGAGCACATGAAAGCATGAAGGTGCACAAATGTGCCTCTGGGCATAGTACAGTACTGTTGACTTCCCAAGGAAATTATGTTCTCTATGTACAAGGAGCAAAACAAACACTTTCAGTCTGGATTACATGTATTTGCAATTAAAGGAAAACAACAGAGAAAGAAATTATAAAGTCTCCATGAGAGAGCAGAGTTTGTGTCTCACTCTGAGATCTTCCGTCTTGAATCTGCTTATGGCCCTGTCCTCCCAACAGACAGGCACAGATTTAACCCCTGTAGTAATGTTTTTGTTTGGTTCTGCTTTGTAGAAGTAGTATTTTTCCTTCCTGAAAATGACATGGTCAGCAGTTTCCTTTTCAGGGTCCCTTTCTTTTTACCTCTGCTGGGTATACCACTGGCTCCACTACATCCCTGACAACTCCTTTCCCCTACATCCTCAGGGGCAAATACTGTACATTGTTTATGCTGTTTTTCATCCCAGTCTCTTGGTTAAACCCAACCTACGTAGATCAACTCTATAACTGACGTTAAAGATTTAATTCTGCTGGAGTTTTCTGAGTAGTGGACTGGCATGTAGCTATAACAGAAAATTTGCCCTATACCACATTTTTTGGCCAGATAACATTATGCTGACACCTAAAAATGTGATGCTAGACAATAAGCAGCAGATCTAATGTGCTTTAACGAATTCTTCCCAAGGAAGATTTGAAAACCAGCTCTTTGGGTAACCTGTATGCCACAAGTCTACTTCACAAGGCCTCAGTATTCTCCACAGCAGAAATGTTCCTTGGTATATTATTCCTTGCCTTCTGGAATAAATGTGTAGCCTTTGGCAAGGCCTAGTGGTCACTCCTATAGCTAACAGACCATTTCTGACATGTTTTGCTGGCTACTACACAATTATTAGCTAGTTTTCCTTCTCTGTCATATTCCAGGTCTGGCCACAAAAAAGCTTCAAGCCGAACTTTTCATTTTCATTATGCTTTATTGATCATACAATTCAACCATCATTCTCCAGTGAAAGCAGCAGGGTATTACTACCCCATGCCACATGGCAAACAATCATTTCCTTTGGACAATTCAGTTTTTTCTAGTGGACTCAGACCCTGATTCAGCAGGTTTCTAAAACATTTGCATATCTGTGGGCATGTGAGCACCCCTGTTGACTTCAGTAGGTGGCTAACATGCTAAAAAGAAAAGGAGTACTTGTGGCACCTTAGAGACTAACCAATTTATTTGAGCATAAGCTTTCATGAGCTACAGCTCGCCGATGAAGTGAGCTGTAGCTCACGACAGCTTATGCTCAAATAAATTGGTTAGTCTCTAAGGTGCCACAAGTACTCCTTTTCTTTTTGCGAATACAGACTAACACGGCTGTTACTCTGAAACCTGACATGCTAAAGGTATGCATGTTCTTGCTGAACCAGCACCAATGGCTCTTGTTTGCTATATGATTTTGCCATCCAGAAGGAGTGTATTGCATTATTTTAACCAAAGCAGGGTTTCTCTCTCCATTTCCTTGGCACTTGCTGGGGGTGATGGGAAGGCTCACTAGGTAAGAGAGTTTGCACACTGCCTCTGAAAGTAGGGGGAAATGAGCAGAATAAATCAATGTCCTCTGGAGGCTTGCATTTGAGGCAGCTAAGATCAAAGCCCATCTCTGCATCCTGGCTGTTGCTAGAGGTGCCGTGTCAGCCTCTGGATCCTGTATCTCAACAAGGAGCTTGTGATCAAGGGCACTCGTGCTATTTAATTATCTCCCAAATAATGCCTAATCTCTTTCTGAGAGTAATTCCTCTCAGCCTTTGATAATGTTCTGGAAGCAAATGTCCTGGGGTTTGCCTTTCCCTCTTTACAACCCATATGTGCAATGACAGCTAGCACTCCTGCTGAACAGACATCATGTGTCAACACAGTAGGGAAAGCTCTGGGTGAAATGCACCAGTACACTGGAACTATTCAGTTTTGCTTTTTGCTTCCTTAAAAGACTTATTCTGCCTCTCAAACAAAACCCATTTCCTATCTTTTAATAATGCATCTACTGGGGCTGCTTAATGCCAACACATCCAGAATGAATACTCCATAATAGCCACTGTTGCCTAAAAAGGATCTCCACTCTGAAAGTCTTGGCAGCAGAAAGGGCAAATCTTGCTTTAGAGAAGCACCCCAAAATGCATGTCCTCTGAGGTGAGACAGTTCCAAACAGTTTGCAGCACTGAGTTAGGCTCTCAGGAGACCTGGCTCTCTCATGGACCATCTAGTCCCTCCTGCGTCTGTTTGGTTTTGAACTGTCACTTTTGCTCAGTGTATCTTGGCACTTCTCATTCCAGTTCTGTTTATGATTAAGCATAAAAATTAAAACTGAGTCCAAAGCTGCAATGTTCTGAACCAGACTCAAATGTTCCCAAAGTTCCAGGGGTACTGATTAGGCCAGTTGCAGAGACAGGGCCAGTTGTGCGGTTTGGATTTAGGGAGATTTGGGTCTGACTCTAATGTTCAGATCAGGTTTTTGGATTGAGCCTGTCTTTAAAAATGAAACTTAACAGAACTTTCTGTCCCCCAGGAAGGTTCTGCGTGAGTCTGGGACACAAGTTCAGTTCAGCACTTACCTGAACCAGTTGCTGTTCATCCCTGCTCATAGCCAAGGTAAGCCCTGCCTGTTCCCTTTCTACCTAAGATGGCAGGTAGTTGCAGGTGTTAGCACAAAAGCATTGGACCCCACAGGAACTAGCCTGCAGATTTCATTAGCACTGCCTCCAAATTTTTTCTTCTGAATGGAAGCCAGTGCTTAGAGATGATCAGCATGTGTGGGACACATCTCTCTCAGGAAAGGAGCCATGCAGAGCTGTTTACAAATCTGATGGGCAGGGTCTGGTGGCCAGCGGTGGGTGAGGGTCATGACACTAAGTGAGTTCCCAAAAGAAAAGCTAGTTTTCTGGGCTGACACCGCAGATCCATAGGGTTAAAGAGATTAACCAAGCAGGCAGGGAAAGGACCATGCTTTCCATGAAGCCTTGCAGGGGGGAAGCAGAAGATGTAGGGTTTCCCTCCCAGGGAGAGGTTTCCTCCCACTCCCACCTCAAAGGCGCACACACTGAAAGCTGCAGCTTAGATGTGTGCGAGCATCCAGTCCCCATAAGTGTTAGCTCTAGATCCAGCCACTATTGTCTCCTCCTCCATATTATTTATTGCTTTGTCATTTTCTAGCACTGCATCCATCCCAGGATCTCCAAGCTCTTCAGTGAAGTCAGCCTCATATCTCTTTCCCTTGGGTCAAGATCATTTATCCCCTCCTACAGACGAGAGGAGTGACTTGCCCAAAGTCACCCAGAAAATCAATGGCAGGGTAAGGACTAAAACCCAAAGCACCTGTCTCTTCATCACAAGAGCATCCCTTTTCCTTAGGGGTGCAGTACACTAGAGGAATACTGCCCGTCCTGGGAAGGGTTAGGGTACACTCAGTCCCTGCCCCGTTTTTCTCATGAAATCCTATCTCCTGGCATGCAGCATCCTTCCCCCCCGTTGGCTTCTCAGATAGCCAGATCCAGCAGAGTGCAGGGAAGAAAATGCTGTCGCTCAGCCAAAGAGCCGAATCTCGCCTCGCATTTCCCATCCCACCACAGGCTGTGGCATCCCATCCTGGAAATGAACCCTTAGTGCTTGCTTTAGCGCTAAGCCAACATGTCAGTCCTACAATGGTCCTCATTCATTCAGCACTGCCTCAGGGAGAGGATTGTCCCACAGGGGAGAAGGAGGCCTGTATAAGTGGGCCTCATTACCATGGTCATATACACTAAGTTCTGCAGCTTTCCTGCACAGCAAGCCTGTGTCATCCACTTACGTGCTTCCCCATTCCTGTTTTACTTGTGCATCTGAAACAGACAGGAGATGGTCTAATCAAGGGAAATACTGCAGCGCCTCAGCCATAACCAGTATTAAACAGCACACGTTGACACTTTAGCTGCTGACACTGGGGGATGAGATGCAAAATAATGGGTTAGAGGGGACAAACTGCCTGTCGATTTCAGTAAGCTGAGACAGAGCTATTGCTGAGCACCACAGATACAAGAGTTGCCATGAATTATGCATCCCTTGTTTGAAGGGAGGTTGGCCTCATCAATAATGAAGGCTCACTGCTCTGCCTTCAGCATTGCATCCCCAACACTGGCAGTTGCGGAATTCCTGAAATCTGCATGGATGCCCTCAAGGCGCTCCAGGGTCAGTGGAGAGAGACAGCCTGCATTCCGTAGCCTAACACGCAATACTGCAGAAAGTTCCTGTGCACACAAAACGTGAACCTGCCTAGTCCCCGTGCTGCCCTGCCGCCAGCTCTGCTCAAGTACTCCCATGCAGACGCACACATCATACAAACATGCAGCCAAAAACGAAGGCACCCAAAATTACCAGGAATCTTTGAAAATTTTGGCTTGATCAGCTGAGATTGATCGGGGGCATTTGCATTAACAGACCCTAGATTTATACATCAGGTGGCTGGATATTACTGGTAAATGGCCACTGTCCCTGAAACCCACTCCCCTTTCAGGGTGATGGTCTATGCCCTTGTCTACATGACCCAATTAAATCAACCTATGTTAGGTCAAGAACAGCCACCCCATTAATTGCTGCGGTTTTTCATGTCCACACTACCCTCCTTCTGCCAGAGGGACGTGTCCTCCCCAAAAACGTTTCCACTGACTTGAGGGGGCTGAGCACCCAGGCCTAAATTTACTGATCTCCAGGGCAGACTGCAAAGCCCATGTATTTGCTCAGGCTCTTTTCAAGTCACTATTTCCTTTCTGATGTGGTTCTCTCCTTCGCGCCAGTCCCTTCTCTGTCCCAGTTTGTCTCCACTATTATCTGTTTTCCCTTCATTTTTATTCCCCATGGACTTCTCTCTTCTCCATGTCTTCCCCAGCCCCTTGCTCCTCCTGGGAGAGGGCCAGAGAATGGATCCTGCTCCAACACCAGTGATAAGAGTGTTTCACAGACGGAGCAGGTGATCCACGTGAACTGGAGAGTGTCGCCCTCCAAATGCTGGTTAACGCTGCACTGCAGCCCTGCTCTGTCGAATGGAGGGAATGGAACTCCTGGGAGTTGGAGGGTTAATTAATGCCAGGAAAGGGCTGTAGAGCTGAAGTGCTAGGACTGGGCTCTGTATTTTTCTTCATTAGTATGATCCCCCTTTTCCTTGGTTGTGCTGCCTCCACAGTCTCTTTTTCCAGCCTGCGACCTTGCCTGCCGACCCAGCCTCTGCCCTGCACTGATTATTGTGAGTTTAGAGTCATTAGAAAGGAGGAAGATTAACAACAAGGCTCTCCCAGACCTAGGTCTCCTAACACTGCTCCTGAACATAGGCAGCTGCCTCAAAAACCCCAGCCCGCTGAGGCCTCTCCCTAACACAGCCCTCCCACATCTCACTCCCCAGCCTGGCTCTCCCTAGCCTTAGCCACCTGAGTCTGCTTTCGAGCCATCTCTATGGCCAGCCCTTTGCTGGGGTCCTCCAGGGCTTCCACCTAATCCAGTTCTCCTGAGGACTATCCCAACCTCCGCTGAGATGCCTACCATTGTACGTCATCTGAGGAAGCAATGAGGCTGTCTAGGCTGCACGCTCGTTTTGGCAGCATGGAGAGTACAGACGCTGCAAGCCCCCCTAGCACAGGTATAAACAGCAACATAGACCGTAAGGCCCAACTCAGGCAAGTAGCGTTAAGACATGCCTGTGGGTATGGACCTGGCCATGTACGCTGCAGGCTCTCTACTTGCCCACGCAGTGCCTCCCCCATCTACACGGCTATTTTTAGCGGCGTAGTGTCCCACAGCTGCCTTTCCTGCTGCTGGGGTCTTTCCCCACCTCAGGGAAAGGGTTCAGTAGTGGGGAGACTCTGGCAATAAGGAGGCAGCTGGGAAACGTCCCAACAGCTTCCCGCTGCTGGAGCCTTTTCTGCTGCCTCCCCCGTACCAGAGCCTTTCATGAACATGGGTAGCTCCACATGGTGTAGCTTTTCACTGCAGCATGTAGCTATGCATACTGTACGCCCTGCTGCAAGTGGTGTGCAGTGTAGATGTAACCGAGGTTACTGTCCAGCCTGGGACGCCTTAGGTTGCTCCCAAAATCCAAGTTGCCCACTGTTAATATTGCACTTCAGTAGCAAAAAGTTTTCTGGGAGTTAAACAGGCTGGTGATGGTCAACAGTAGGGGAGCCGATCACATCAGGTGCTCTGAGCTACAGCCAGATGCTTCTTACTGCTCCTGTCAGACAATGCAAGAAACAGTCAAACCTAGCTCTGGAGGGGGGTTTGCTCATGCACATAAAACAGAAGATTGATGGATGAAATTAAGCAGAGGGATGTGTAATTGGAAAACAGCTCAAGAAGGTTACAAGCAGCATATTGAAAGCATCCATCAGCCATCTAGCTAATGTTGTTAGGGGTGCATAATACAACTAGGGATTGCAGCAGGCACTAGAAAAAGAGGGGGAGAGAGGGATAGTCAGAAAGGAAAAGAATAAGGAAGAGAAACTTAGAGAGAACATTAATAATAATACAATCTGTATTACAGCAGTATCAATAGGTCCCTCTCTGCATCACAAGAAGAGCTGTGCAAACACATAACTGAAGGAAGTCCTCTCCCCATAGAGCTTACTGCTGGGTGAAGTGTGTTATGCAGAAGATCAGACTAGATGATCATAATGAGCCCATCTGGCCTTGTGATCTATGTATTTCATTTAAGAAAATCACTACAAATAGGTGTAGCAATAAAAAGGAGGGAATGGAGATGGGAGGAGGAAGGTAACAATGCTGGGAACACACAGTTACACAGGCTAGCTGTGTGCACAGACTGATCACTCCAAGCCAATTAGAGATTGTTTTTAATTAAAGATGTAAATAAATATATCAAATAGATCTCAGTAGGTCCCACTGGCCCTCGGTTTGTCCATTAGCAGTCTCCCATAGGCAATGTGGTATAAGTGGGTCGCAATGAGGTATCTGGAGGAGGACAGATGAGGGTGCTGAGTTCATTGACTAGCTTGGGGAGGGGCAGTGCGGAAGAAACTACATGAGCACTTGTGGCAGAAGTGGACAATCAGGTGATCAAGCTGCAATGATTGGCAGTGTGGAGCTGGCAAAGGACAATTCTAGTCCTGAGAACCATGCAGACTGGAGAAAGGGGAGTGTAATGGTGCCAATTCACTGCTGCGGCGCCTTCTGCTGGTCGTGCTAGGAAATAGCTCTCTTGGACCCCCAGGGCGCCTTTTACTAGCGGTGTCTCACTCGCTGTTACTTCCACTTCCTCCACCGTCTCCATCAGCTGGACCCGCATCGCTCCCAGACCCCAGTGTCCTCTTTGGGACACAACCCTCTGGCTGTGCCCCCAACCCACTGTCTCCCCCCTTTCGGGGGACAGCAGTCCTAGGTCCTTCCACTTGCCTCAGCGGCCAACTTCAGTCTCTAGTCTAGCCCCTAGCTTCAGGGACAAACTGCAGTCTGGATTTAGACCATTCTCCTCATTGGCAAGTAGGGGTAAAGGAGGAGGGAGGGACCCAGGCCCATCTGCTACTGTGGGTCCCTGCCTAGTGACCCTATAAGAGGCAGCCACTTATTGCCCCTCCTCCTAATCCCACCATCTACTTTCCCTAGGCCACTTCCCCCATAGCTCTAGCACCTTCCCTGTCCTTGATTCAGGGCCTCAGTCTGGCCATGGTCAGATAAGAGTTCCCCTATTGCTCTGCTACCCAGCACTGCAGTATCTCCAGCACTCCTTCCCCTTTGCCCTCCAGGAAGAGATTGCCCTTGCTCTGCTGAGCAGCCCTTTATATATGGGCTGCTCCAGCAAGCCTTCTCTTGATTGGCTCTCCTAGTGAGCCCTTTCCGATTGGCTGGGTTCTGTGCAGCCTCTCCAAGGCTGCCTTAACCCTTCTCCTGCCTATGTGGGGCAGCCGCCCCACCACAGGGAGTCAATGAAACAGAGAGATGGAGAAAAATGAAGGAGAGGGAAAGCTGTGAGAGAGGAAATGACGTGTAATGCAAGCCGGGCTTGTTAGAACTCAATAAGGGTGAAGAATAGAATCCTCTGTGAAGCTCACTAGGGACCTGACTGTGCTGGTCTCATGCAGTGCTTAGGTTCTGCAGTACTGGGCACTCGAGAAAACCGATAAAGAGAGAATGAGCATGTAGAAATAAAAGAACAAAGAATACCTGGAGACCCTGGCTCAGTATGTTTGCAGGGTTTGGGGAGCAGGCTGTGAGGATGTGGAATTAGAAGCAGAATTTGTGTGTTCTCCTAACTTTGATCTGCTCCCCTCTTTGCTCTTGGTAACAAAGCTGCATCCTCCTCCTGTCTTCTCCTTCACTCCAGAATCAATCTGAGTTTGTGGCAGTCATGGGGCTGCCTTGTGGAAACAGTTCCTGTATAATAAAGGCCAGGTCTTTCTTTTATGTAAGGGGAAAACACAGACTGCCTGAGAAGACCTCAGTACAGAGACCCTTGTAATGACAGGTAGCTCAAGCAGGGAGATAAGATATGACCACCCGAGAACAGGCCAACAGAGAGCTAGGTGCCTACAGGTGTAACGAGAACTCAGAGCCCTTGTTCCATTTTAGGGCTTGAATTTATTTTGTGACTGCCTCTATTTTCATGGTTCCTAGTGTCAGGGAAGCTGTTCCTACAGTACCTACACTATCAGATACACATACCTGTCCCCAGTCTCTTAATTCACTGGGTTTTGGAACCCATGTCCCTTGCCTAGCGAGTGTTGCTTAGTTGAGGGTGAGGCCCTCCATTATAAAATGCCAAGTACAGTTCTACTGTCCTTCACATAACCAGGATAACAACCCTTTATTACTCCTGCCCCGATAACAAAGAGACTGGGGATCCCACAGCAGCCAAAGTGACCATTTGGGCAGGCAGTCCATCATGTTGGGTATGGTGGGTGTGCCCATGCAAACGAGATCAGCTCCTGAAGTCCTTTTCCACAGCTCACCATCAGATGTCAGGGTAGAGATTATTCTGACTCTGCTTACATGAGGAAGGGAAACAACTCCCATCTCACCTCTGTGTGGGAGTTATTTATTGTTATTATTTATTATTAATAATAATAATAATAATAACAGGTTTCAGAGTAGCTGTGTTAGTCTATATTCGCAAAAATAAAAGTGGCACCCTAGAGACTAACCAATTTATTTGAGCATAAGCTTTCGTGAGCTACAGCTCACTTCATCGGATGCATCCTTTTCTTTTTGCGAATAATAATAACAACAACAACAATCATTTAAAAGTAATGAAAAGGTTAAAGACTTGGTCCCAGGAGGACTCAAACCTACAACACTTACTGTCATGCCCCTGGCTAGCTATCTCTGGTGCTTACATGGACCCCATTACTGTAGTATCACAGTGCCTCGCAGCTGTAATATGTTTATCCTCACACCACCCATGTTGAGCTAAGGCAGAGCCATTATCCTCATTTCAGACATGGGGAACAGAGGCACAGCGAGACTGAGTGACTTGCCCAGGGTCACACAAGAAATCTGTGGTGGAGAAGAGACTTGCACTCGGGTCACTCAGCTAATGTGCTAAGCTCGCTCTCTTCCACCATACTGGTATCAGGGCACTGCCCCTCCACAGGCTCTTTACCTGGAAGAGCAGAAAGCGGGGCTAGGAGCATTGGGAGTTCAGGGGCCACGCTGATAGCAGCAGCTCTATGGTTCTCAGGAAGCATGGTCACAGTCGCTGCTTTTGTTGCACAGGGGAAACCTCAGTCTTTGTGGCTAATGAAAATTTTATTCCCTTAGGCCTCCAGGGGGAGCACTGGTGCAGCCACTGTCTGGTAGATAGGCATGAGGGAAGAGGTCCACTGGGAAGGGCTCACTACATGCACTCAGCACCCAAGAAGAATCCCCGAGGAACCAGCCCCAGGAGGGCAAAGGGAACAAAGGCTGGCACACGCTGGTCTCAAAACCGGTCAACACTGAGGCACTCTGCTGACAGCGACAGTGGTGAGTCTTCAGCTGCCAAGAGGCAGTGTGACTGCTGTACAACTCAGTGTGTGTGCATGGATTGCTGTGCTGCAGAAGGATTAAATCTCCATTACTATGCTTGGCTTTTGCTGCCTGTGGCATGGCACAGGCAGCTCATTTAATAATGGGACTGGGAGCTTCTGCATCCATAGAGCTGAAAGGAGATGCTGGAAGTTGCATGGTGAATGAGGCAGGGGACTTCTGGAAGAAAAAGGATGGTCTTTGGTTATGACCCAAAACTGGCATCTGAATTGTGTTCTTGTTTCTGCTGTGGACTTTCTGTGTGATGGCAAGCAAGTCACTTCCATTAATGTTTTCAGAAGTGGCCACTAATTTTGGATACTTTGTTGAGTGGCTGCCCAACCTGAGAACCCTAGGACCAAGTGTGGATCACTCGCAACCCATATTGAAGTTAACGGGAGCTATAGCTGCCAGGGATGTTGGAACAATTTGTACAGTGGGGGTGCTGAGAGCCATCGAACCAAACTATAAACCCTGTATATAATGGAAACCACTTCCAGTCAGGGGGTGCAGCAGCATCCCCCACACCCCTAGTTCCAGCACCTTTGGTAGGTGCTCAGCAACTGTGAAAATTCAAGCCCAAGATGTCTCAAGTTGGACACTCAACGAATGAAGTACCCCAAATTAGTGGCCTCTCCTGAAAATGTGGGCTTTAATGACTCTGTGCCTCAGTTCTCTTCCTTTCACAGGGATGTTTTAAAGGTAAATTCAGTAATACCTGTGAAGCACTCAGATTCTATGGTGATGAGAGCCATAGAAAAGCCCATGATGAGATTAATAATTCCATATGTAGTGCATGGTTTGGATGATGTGTCATATATAATTCCGGAGGTCAAACAATGATTGAGGGGGATAAAAAGAAACATTGACCTGTGCAAAAAACAGGATGTGACAGTAAAGACTGTATCAGAATTAATACGTATAAGGGAGTTGAATTAAAATTAAATTAGAATAAAGAATAGGAGGCATCTTTCAGCCTGTTGCTGCATCCATCCATTGTCCATTTGCTCTGCAGTTATTCAGGTCTTGCATACAACTGCAGGAATACTACAAATCTGGTACCTCAAGAGTCAAATTTTCAACTAGCTGAAGTGTCACTACAAGGCTTAGAAGTTACCCCCTAGGGTTGAATGGGTTCACAAACAGCTCTCTTTTGGCTGTTGTTTCAGATTGCCTGCAGATTCAGGAAGGCAAACAACTGTGAACTGGGTACCCTAAATTCACATTTGGGAGGTATTCTTCACAACCATCAAGGATAGAAACCTGTTCTTTAAAAAAAATTACATGGAAGCTTGCACTCTGTAATATCTGAACCAGTTGTGGCAGGCAGATAAATACCTTAATGGCTCAGTTCTGGAGAGTGATGGGACTAGTCATGTGCTTACATTTAAACAGGGGCTTAAATGCTGTGCTGGATCGAGGCCAGAGTGCTCAGCACCGTTCAGGATCCAGCCCTAGGTGAGCTGGACCTAGTCTGTTAGCTGCGTATCTGATAGCACTGAGCTAGCCTTTGCTGGCGTCTGTCACTCTCTGTTCAAGCACCAGGTGACTTACTCCATACTCTGTTCTGAAAGGTAGGGAGATGCCTGGGCGTTGGAAGCTCTTTGCAGCATGCTAAGGAGACGTAACCTTCTGACCACACTCCTGATCATCTTGCCATGGGCTCTTCTTCTAACCTTGTGGCATCAGTACCCAGCCACCCGCTACCTCATCCTGCTGAGAAGTAAGTGCAAGCGACTCTTCACACGGTTACAGTTTTATCATAACAGTGTCACGGCCAGGGTGTTCCTGAAATGCATGCAAGGAATTATTGATGTGAGCACTTGATGGGAAACACTTCACTGAAAGGGTGAAACAAAGAGAAACTTTCCCAAAGGACCCCTCAGGGCTTGGCTTCTGCAATCAGCCAGACAGTCCTTAAGAACACTCTCCGTTGTTTGGAGGAAGCCTCAGAGAGAAGCCCACTCTAGACACTATGGCTGAATGGCCCAGATCCTCAAAGGTTTTTAGGCACATAAGTCCCATTGATTTCAGTGGGCTCTAGGTTCCTAAATACCTTTGAGGATCTGGGCCAGTTTGCTTGAGGAATTCTTTTGTGCAGCAGAGCAACTAGTCTACAGTGCGATTTTTCCGTAAACCCTCCCACCGTGGCATTGCCGCGGTGCAGCTCTTGTGTACAGAAGCTGCTGATGTTTTGTCATTTTATCCTGTAGCCCTACTCTGAGCAGAGTTAGATGGCATGGGGCTTTAAACACACACCTGGAGTCCTGACTGTGCCATTAATCCCCTTTTTTGCTAGCACAATGGTGTTGGGCTGGCAGAATAATTTAGGAAACAAATCTGTGAGAGTTAACACCCAGGCCCACCTGAGCTAGCCCATGCTTAGGATTGAGAATAATGGACTTCATACAGTCTTGCCATGTAACTTTAGCCTAAAGGGCATGCCAGGTAAAATACAGGGAACAGGCAGGACTCAGGATCAGCCCGCAGGCTGAGGGTAGGGCTATGGGCAAGGGGCTATGGGTAAGAGAGAGAGCTGCTTTCTGGTTATAGTACATAGTGTTGACTTGGCTGGTTTCTGCGAATGGAGTTGCTTGTGTGCAGCTTGCTGTTGTTTTTGCCTTCTCTGTTCAAAGTAAACAGGACTGAGGTCCATTTTGTGAATAAAGATAGACTACCAGGGAATACCTGGAGCCTGTGTCCCCAATTTCCTCTTCCAACCAAAAGATGGCCCACTGCAAAGCTCCAAAGTGTGCTACCACTCAGCAAAGAGGTAACAACAACAGGGGAGCTCCAGTTCTCACACCCCTCTGCAATGCGTGGGTGGGCCACAGAGCTTTTCCATCTAGGCCACAGGGCTGATTCAGTCACAGCAGTGACGGGTCAGCCACCAACCAATACCATTGTGTAACCCCCACGTGTAACGTCAGCATCTCTGGGCGGGTCATCGGCAGCAGGGATTGAATTTGGGACCTCTGGATCTTACTGCATGAACCTCTACTGCTTCAGCGAAGAGAGCCTGCTCTGTTAGTCGGTGCTCTGGCAGACTCATTAATAGCTAGCCGTCACTAGAGGGGGACAGAGCACCACGCTGAGAGGGCGTAGATTATAGTGACTCGTAGATCCAATCCAAATTTTTCAACCACCGGATTTTTTAACAAAAAATAGCTTTTTTTCTAAATTTGGAAATTTGAATACATTTTTTGGAAAATGAACTTTTTGGTTGTTTTTTTCTTTAATGGGTTTTTTTTCCCCCTCTCCCCCTTTTGTCCTTTCCCCCTCTCTTTTTGCAGAGGTAAAATGTCGGGGGTAGGGAGGGGAGAAAGGGAGAAAAATGAAAAACAAAAAAATGCATTTTAATGAAAAATTTCCAATAAAAATTGTGACCCTCTGTACCTCAAAATACCACCACAATTCCAGATTGTCCCCTGAGGGTCTGGCACAAACATTTATCATCTTTCCCTTTTGAAAACTGCAGAAGGAAATGACTTCGGAATTTTTTTAATCGTTCACAAAAATGATTTTCCATTTTTCAATCTGCTGCAGTGACCTCCTCCACTGGTGTACCTGGATCAGGCTTGTAGCAGTGATGGAATAAATTGCTGGCTTGTTAAGTCTCTGGTTGCTTCCAAATCATTGGAAGGTCCTCAGTCCCTTGGTTAGAATGCTCCCATTAGTACAAGTTCATCATAGTCCAGAGGTCTGAGCAGGAAAGAGGCAAAATGGAGATGTTTCCAGGGCTTATATATATATATACACACCCTGCCTAAGACTCATGTAGAGTTTCCACTTTCCAAGACCTAATTAATTTTAAATCAGGGTGGGGAAACAAAGAGCACAATTACAAAACAGGGTGACACATTCAACACATTAAAGCTGTTTATTTCCATGTAGTCTCTTCACTAGAGCTGATGCAGGGTTTTCAAGTAACCAAGCAATATAGTTACTGTAGTTTCAAAGGTTGGGAGGGGAGGCATGGCTGGGAATCTCTCCATCTGAAGAAGTGATGCACAATATGATAAAGTTGCAGAAACTCTGCTTTCTAGCACATTTCCCTGAACGTCAGGGATGTTCAGACCCAAGAGTTTGGTTCACGACCCTTCCCCTATACAAATTATTTCAGCTTTAGGAATGTAAGTTTAGCACAGTTCTGGCATATCTAACACGCTTCATGTTTGTTGGCTGTCAATTGCATGTAAAGAGATTACTCTTACCTCGTACCGACAGCGCCACCAGTGAAGTCTAGGCAAAATTTCCTTTCCGCTGACATTTGGCACATCTTCCAGCTCTGAACAGGCTAGGTCAGGAGGAGCGCAGGTCCTACCATTCACACATTCAAAAAGGTCCCACCTGTGTGGTTCTCAGTCTATTCTCCATGGACCACAAGTAATCCTCAGGGTGAAACCTCTTGAGAGCCAAGCAGTAGGGGGAGGGGAGAAATGGGCCTATGAAAGGATCGTTCTCTTATGAAGTGGTTTGCAGAATGAAAATGTTGTAGAGCCAGGGCCCTTGCCCCAGATAGATCATAGGTAGTTATCAAATGTCACCTAATGGAGCAGTGATCAGGCTGTGCTTTAGTCTCTGACTTCCATCTTCTTTTCGCCTCAGAAGAGACAGATGAAAATGCAACAGCTAAAGCTCACTTCAACGGCACATCCCCACTGAGGGAAGAAGGACTCCCATCATGTAGCTGGCAACAAGCCTCGGGGGTGGCTCAAAAAGTCATCCAGAACTATGTGTATTCCCGGCCTCCCCCCTGGTCGGACACTCTCCCGACCATCTTTGTAATCACGCCCACCTACACCCGGCCAGTGCAGAAGGCTGAGCTGACCCGGCTAGCCAACACCTTCCTACATGTGCAGAACCTGCACTGGGTGGTGGTGGAGGACTCACCCCGGAGGACCAACCTGGTGTCCAACCTGCTGGAGAAGGCGGGGCTCAACTTCACCCACCTGAATGTGGAGAGCCCACAGAGTCTGAAGATGGGCGGATCCTGGATCCCATCCCACAAGCCAAGAGGGACACTGCAGAGGAACCTGGGGCTGCACTGGCTAAGAGACAGCTTCAACAACACGCAGCCACCAGAAGGGGTGGTGTACTTTGCTGATGATGATAACACCTACAGCCTGGAGCTCTTTGAGGAGGTAGGAGCCATTGCACTTCATGAAAGAGAAGAACAAAATGTAGCTGTCGCCCATAAAGACCAGAACCTGCCCTGTGTTCTGCAGTTACAAAGGACCCTGACCCAGTGGTACTAGCATGGTTCTCCTGCACCAAGGGGGAGGAGGATTTGGTAGCCCCTCTCAAGGGCTCCACATCAGTGTGTGCCATGGAGCTTTACTCCACAGGGGCTCCCTCTGCCTTCACATGCAAGGTGGTTGGGTGCAGGGCAAGTGAGATCAGAGAGCTGATAGTTAGGCAAATGTACCAGCCATTTTTTCCCAGTGAGGAAGGAGTGCTCCAGCCACGGGATGCAGATGCAGGGCAACTCCACAGCTGCTCTGTGATCTGCATGGACAATTCCATGCCTCTTTAGCCCCTGCTAAGTCACATGACCATGCTGGTGCTAGGATATGGTGCTAAGCCTTTGTGCCCATGGTGAAAGGCTCCTCTTACAAAGTCTGTTCTGGGAGGGGTTGTAGAGTGAATGCTGTAGACCAGTGGAGCGTCAGGGTGAACTGATTTGTTTTAAACAAGCCCCAGTCAAAAACTTCACTCAAAACTCAAACCTGCCCTTGAGCACTTTATGGAGGTTGGAAAAAGTTTGGTCAACTTTCCAATCCACCATTGTTTCCCTTTCCTCATTCCGCTGTACTCTTGGTCCCAGCTAGGAGAAGAAGAGCAAGCATGCAATGAGAAAGGGCTATCCTCATGGTATTTCCAGCCCAGCTAGAACCAAGAAGCCAAATCAGAAATTTCATGGGAAAGCCAATTGCTCTGAGTTTTCCAGTCTATTGCAAACTCAAGGGGATGATCATCCAGTAAGCTTCACCAAAGCGTAGGGCACCACCTGAAACACAAGTGCCCAAGTTATCCTATAGACTCCATTTCCAATCCTCAGAAGTTATTTTGGTCCCCTTGAGTAGGGCAAGAAGCCTCATCATCCTTCATAAGTTCATCCTTGCCTGCATCCCCTGTGGGCACTCTTAGGGAGCCCCACACACTTCTAGGAGGTGGCCATGGATGGCATGGGTGAGAGCACAGAGCAGGTTGCTGGGGATGAGGACAAGGGAGTGTCAGAAGAGGGTGGCTGGCTGTGGAGACTGCTTGAGTCAGTCGTAGGGTGGAGTCAGTTGGTGTGATTAGTAGGAACCTGAAGGCCTGGTCAGGGTTAGGTGGTTTAACAGCACTGGGAATGTTCATGTTCCTATGGAACAATCAACACAAGGCCAATAAGAGGTTAGATAGAATCTGAACATTCTGGGAGGAGGGTAGGACTCTGTCTTTCCCCCTCTTTCTCTGGGGCACAGTAGATGGCAGATGATTGGAGGTTAAAGGGCGGTGGAACAGTCAGGTGTTGAGCGGAGGAGAATGATTGGAAGAAAGAGGAGGAGAGGGAGGTAAAACTGACCTCAGACCTCCAGGTCATTGCAATGTCACCTCCCTGGCCCATAGTATTGGTGGTCAGAGTATCCTGCCAAGAGCCATTTGGTTCCATAGGAAGGCACAGGTGGTAGGCACCCAGTGTCCGTAAAACGGAGGAAGGTGAGATTGCTGCTGTGGTCATGAATAAGGAGAGATTTACTTCTTAGCAATGGGGTGATGAAGGGGATGAATGGGAGTGAGGAGAGTGGGGGCGATGGGAAGGTGGGGTGATGAGAACAGGGTTGCTTTGATTTCAGCGTTGTGAAGAAAGAGCTGGGGGATGGGAAGGTGGGCATGTGAGCATCAGAGTAGGGTGTGGAGAAGGTACAAGTACAAAGTAAACAAAGCACTTTGGTGGGCAGGAGGAGTTGGGGTGATCATAAGGGTGAGGTGGAGAGGAAAGGATGAGGGAAAGCCTAGGGCAGTCTGGAGGGTGGAAGTGAGAAGAAAGAAGGCAAAGAATGAAAAGGAGAAGGATGCAAGGAGTTAAAAGCAGGGTGGTTTGCGCAGGTGATGCTGGGGGAAAGGCGTCAAAGTGGGATAGAGCAGTAGGGGCGTGGTACACATAGGGAGGCGGGGGTGAAATGACAGCATTGAACCTTTCACTGCACTGCTTCTCTCTGGCACACAGATGCGCTATACGAGGAGGGTATCCGTATGGCCAGTGGCCTTCGCTGGGGGTCTGAGGTACGAGTCTCCCATAGTGAGCCCAGCGGGGAAAGTGGTGGGCTGGAAAGTGGTTTTTGACCCTAACCGGCCCTTTGCTATTGACATGGCTGGATTTGCAGTCAGCATCAGACTGATCTTGGAGAGACCTCAAGCCACTTTCAAGCTGGAGGGAGTTAAAGGAGGCTACCAAGAAAGCAGCTTGCTGAAGGATTTGGTGACTATGGATGGACTGGAGCCCAAAGCAGCCAACTGCACAAAGGTCAGCATGACAAGGGATTTCAAAGCACAGCTCTCCCTTCTGGGGTCTACATGAAACCTCCGATATACTCCCTCCCTCCACCCCAGCATTTCAACCCCCTGTTCCCCCTGTCACGGTTCTTTCCATCATCCATTGCACCTGACCTTGCACCAAAGCACATCAGCACCAAACAATAGTTAGGCAAATCAGTTAATGTCTGTGAAGTGCTTTGCAGATGAAAAGCCATATGAGTCCAAAGAGGCATTATGGTTATTATGCATTATAATTATCATATTGGAGGTGCGTCCCAGCTGCAGAATTCAGATCCTGATTCCTTCCCCAATTCCAGGGCTTGTGGGGGGGAAGGTTGATCTGGTGTCAGAGCTCTCTTCGTTGTTGTTGTTTGTTTCATTTATGTGCATATTAATTTTTTGGGCATAAGAGCTCTAATAAACTCTGACTCCAGCTCTGACTCATGTCGCTTTCACCCAGAGACCTAACACATTTCAGAACCCTAACTATTCAGGAACTAACACACTGGGATTTCTGGTCTTGATTTGTCCATGGAATCCAAAGCACCTGTGAACTCGCTGTGTTTTTCCTTGTAGGTTTTGGTCTGGCATACCAGGACCGAGAGGCCGATGCTAGGTAATGAAGGCAAACAGGGATTTTCAGACCTAAGAATGGAGGTGTAAATGGAGAGACAGCCCCAGGCTGTGAGTATCCCTGTGCCTTTGACCTTTGTACTGTTTTTGTTAATATCTCTCTGTAAACATCTATGTTCAGCCTAGTCCACAAACACACCTGCCCCAGACTGTTCTCTTATTACAGTGGATCTCAAAGTTTTGTACTGGTGACCCCTTTCACACAGCAAGCCTCTGAGTGCGACGCCCCCCCCTTATAAATTAAAAAGGCTTTTAAATATATTTAACACCATTATGAATGCTGGAGGCGAAGCAGGGCTCGGGGTGGAGGCTGACAGCTCACGACCCCCTATGTAAGAAACTCGTGACCCCCTGAGGAGTCCCGACCCCCAGTTTTTATTTAATTTATTTATTTATTAACCCCTGTCTTATTAGATCTGTCGAGAATGGTTCTGTCGACAGTGACTGAATGACCTCAGTGGCTTGCTCTTGGTGCTGAACATAGTGCCAGTGCCTGCTGGTGGTTATTGGAAGGGACTAGTGTGACAAACACCCAACACACTTTGGATTTCAGGTGACCTGGGGTGTGAATTCATGGATCGAGATCTGTCCCTGAGGTTTTGATTCCATGTCAAAACCAAAGCCAAAAGGGTTTTTCTGGTTCTGATGGGACCTAAATCTTATGACAGGACTCATCTGGCAAGATTTCCACCGTTACAGCAGGAAAAAACCTTCAAATCCAGCTGATCCTGTGAGATTTTCATCAATTGCAGGGTCCTGTGGCCAATGTCCTGCCAATGCAGGGAGTGACGCAGCAACTGTGCGGGGTTGCTAGAAACCAGGGACGACAGTAGCAGTCACAGGAGGGGTACATAACCGCACTGCAGCCTACAGGAGAGGATTTTCTCCCTCCAATCACTGCAGAGCCCCCTCCGTCAAGCTGCTTTATTTGACACAGCTCTTTCTGCCATGGCACACACCTGTTGCAATGAGCAGCATGCTGAGTGACTTGAGACCCTGTGCATAAGCTCCCTGTGTCAGCAGCTTTGTCCCCTAGTTTTTGACTACACTGAGCTGCTTTGTCAAAAATTCCCCGCCCCCAGTTCAGCTCTACTAGTGGTAACCATAATGGAAGCTCTAGCCTAGGCAAGAAGGTGGTAGCTGCCAGTGTCTTAATCACTGTGTCATCTAGACCTGCTTTGAACCGGTGCTGATAATGCTGCCTCAAGCCCTGTCCACACCATCACTCCCATCATTGCTGAACCGGTGGGAAATGTAGAGTAAAAACTCAGCTTCTGCGCACAGCAACAGCGTACACCAGGGCTGTGCTTCTGTAACCCAGCGGTAGTCAGTGTGTTACACGTCCCTCTCTGGGCCCAAGACACAGAGGACTGGGGCTGCTTCAGCCTGGCTCTAGCTCAAGCTGTCGAGACTGTTGTGTTTAGTTGTGGGGATCCTTAGTTCAGTCCCTGGTGTATCAGCTGAGATGGTGCTTGTCACTTACTTGTCATGGAAGACACTCAGATCTCATGGTCATAGGCAGCCACATAACCCCCTCCCCCCTACATAAACAGACTGAGAGGTACTGTTCTGGCTACATGTTCTGTTGTGCAGCATACTCCATTATGGATGGAGGTCGTGTTGGTTATACCTTTCCCCACTACTGTGCACCAAAAGGGACACTCTCTCTCTTCGGTATGCTACTCTCTCCCTCTCTCATTTTTCCCTTGTCCAGGCACTGAGTCATCCTCTGTAACAAATGCCAGGCCCGTGCCACACATACTATCTAAGGGATGGTTTCCTGCAGATCATTAAGAAACGATCTGCCACCCAGACAGGGTTGAGATATTCATGCACCGCCAGTGGCTTCACTACTGGAAAGAGTTTTGTCCCTTTCTGTGACTGTCCTATCTAGCTTGTGTAGACCAGATTCTCAGCTGGTGCCAACAGGGGCAGTTCTGTTGACTTCAGTGCCCACTTGCACCAGCAGTGAAATGGACTCAACATCTTCATGGTCCATTCAAGGGCAACTACTCCAATATTCCAGGCTGTATGTACCACCCATTCCAGTAGGGATCTCCAAAGCAGCAGATATTTGGTGTGAAGACACTTCACTGAAAAGCCTAGCAGCCTCAGGCAAGGGAGACTGTATTGGGGAGTGCATTGGGAGCCAGGCCACGTTGCAGTGCCCCCACTTAAAATTTTAACCCAGCACCACCAGTGGTGACTGGGCTGAACATCTGTGATCCCCCATCTGCGTTCTTTACCACTGTCCCTGATATCAGACCTGTTGTGTTTCAGAGCGTACCTAGACTCAAGTTTGTAGAGTCTGGTGTGGAGAAGACAAAGGTAACATATTTCCCCCTGATTTGATTCAGGCTTCTGCAGCTATAGTAGTAGGCATATTTCTGTCTCTTATTAAACATGTGGTGTCTCTCGCCTGGGGATTTGGCCCTGGTAGGGGTTAGATCTGTCCAGCAGAGTCCAGTGTCTCCCTGAAGTCTCCCTCCCCTTCACTGTGATAGCTTAGATGCTGGGAATAAGGACCCAGGCAGACTACTTGCAAGGCTTCCTGGCACAGGCTGCAGCAGGGGTGCACTTCTCTTGGATACCACAGGCATGGTGCAAAGTGACATACAAGTCATGTAGACCTCCCTCCAGCAGGTGCAACCATGAATACCATCTACTTCCTCCTTATCACATGCCCCCGTACCATTGATGATGTCTCACCAAATGAGTGCAGTGTGGTGTGAATCTGTGAAGGAACACCATATTATCCATGGTGAAAGGGACATAAAAAGGGCAAAACAATTATCCCCATGTCTTTGTCTTCCTTATTTATGAAGGATAAAGAAAGGCCTGGAAGTTTAAAAGGTTTCCTCTGGTTTCTGCACTAGAAATTCTGATTTTGTTCACCCTTGTGTACTCTATGAAGGATTGAAGAACTGGTAGGATTACGGACCACAAGTGAGGTCCTTAGCCCCCACTCCAACCCCTTTATGCTAGGCAAAAAGGCAGGCATGACATAAAGGGGCCTTAAAAAACCCATATCTGGCCAGTGAAGGATTCTCTCAGTGCAGGCACTGCAGAAGACAGCTATAAGGCTGTTCTTTGAGAACCACCTACAAACCTTGGCACAGAGGGTATGCTGGGGTGGGGTGGGAGTAGAAAGGGTTTGTGTCAGAAATGGGGGGAATTCCTAGGGTTATCTAGATTAGGGGCCCCAGAGCAGCTCTTGATAAGGAACACACAAAGACGGCTTAATGCCACCGTGGCTTCTCTTAGAGGTCCAATCCAGCCCTTCTAGCCTAAGAGGCAAAACACCGAATCTCCTCTCAACTAATTACAGAGGGTGAGAAGTGGTTATCATTCAACCTCCTTAAAAGGCTTTTAAAAACATTGTGTTAGTTAATGCTTTAAGATCTAGTGATGAAAATCAGCATATGAGAGAGGTGTATATTATTATTAAATACCTATTTACAAACACACTTCAGAGAAAAGCACTTACTGTTAAACATACAGTTCCCACTGCCCTGTGAATTAAGAGCTTAAGAAAGCTCACAAGCCACATTTCTGAGACCCCCCCAATAAGTCCTCCAGAAAAAACAGGGATGCCTTCCTTCTATTCTTTTAAAAAACAAAAGGGAAGGGAGAAAATATTCTGTTTTACGATACCCTTTTGGCCCCCTTCTTGCATCTTAAGTAGCAAAAAAGAACAACCCCCCCCCCTTTTTTTTTCTCCTTTGCAGCAGGCATGTGTGAGAACTGCCTGGGTGTTCTGTCTAATCTACTGTTACATTTTGATATCATCCATCTCCCTTCTGGGCCTGTGTCTTGATTAGAGTCAAGACTTCACATGCTATATAAAATAACCATCCTTAAGGATCCCATGTAACACTGTACTTGTTATACAGTAGCTGCTTCTTGCCTGTACGGACAGGGAAAAATGATTATGCTGCATTAGAGAACTATGGTTTAACCCTGGCTAACACCCATCTATGCTTGATGTCAAATTGCCCCTTGACCCAGCTATCGCACTTTGTAACATAGAGGGTACCCAGCTATGCTTCAGCCGTGCCCTCCAGCTCTTGGACTTGTCCCAGGCTATAGCATGTTTAAAGAATACACCCACTGTCCCTTTTTCTGTCCCATGAAATGGAACAGTGTTGAACTGAGCCGAGGGAAGACACCACTCAGAACTGGGTCTCCTGCTACAGTGTGTGAGATGCAATCTTGAGGCATTTGGTCTGCATCCAACACCTTACTCCATTTTTTGTTTGGTTCTGCAGGGGTACAGGGGAGAGTTTACTCCTGAAATGGGTCAACAGCAGCCTCCCACCTCACCAGGTCTGCTCTGCACTTTGTTGAAACCTTGGAGGAGTGCCCAGGTTGTGGCCATGTCTACCAACACCCCCACTGCCCCAAAGTCAGAAAAAAAACCAGGGTCAGAGCTCATATGGTGCCCCATGACCATACAGAATTTCACCTTTGACTTTATGCACTGGCCACCAATCCCTGGCTCCCTGCAAGAGCTCTCCTGGGTCCTGTGTTTTCAACCACTTGTTGGAAGATGACTTCATTAGAAACAGTCTCTTGGCTGAAGCAACAGCATCGGGGCTGTCCAGGGGACAGAACACCCAGTGTGCATCCTGGGTCTCCCAGCAAGGACATGAAATTTGAGCTTCTGCACGGCTGTGACGGAGAAGGGAGATCTCACAAAAGCACAAGGAAAAATCCATCAGCATAAGACAGGGTTGTTTTCAAAACTGTGTGAAAACAAATCCAGCGTGAGGGGGTGTCCCTCTGAAGATGCAATGCTTGGCTGGGCTGTCTGTCTGAGACACTCTTGTCCATTACACACACTTGGACAGGTGTCTAAGTGAGAGCACTTAATTCTACATTTCAGAGCTCAAGGAGGCACTTACATAACTCCTCTAAGGAATTGGGTGCCTGGGTGCTGATTTGAGAACCTCAACAGAGAACTGGGCTCCATGTTTGGAAACTGGGGCCCCACAGTGTCAAATCTTCGTGTGCTGAGTTCTTTGGATAAACACCTTCTCCCATGCCAGGGAGAGGTAGGACCTTACAATTCCTGTGCCTCATAGGCTGTCTTGCTATGTGTTCTCTCCGATACTGGAAAGCAAGGGACAGTGCCCGGATGGACTTTAAAGCCCTGTCCCCAGCACTGGAATCCTTGTTGCACTAGCATGAAGCATTTGAGTTGATATACGATCCAAGACTGTTTATATGGAATTCTTCTCTAGACTCCAGTCTAGAACCAGATCTCTAAGGAGTGGAGGGGAATGGACAGTGAGCAACCATAAGTCTCTGATCACCCTCTGTGAGGAAGGTCAGTGGGACAGAGAACACCACCATCAAGAAACAAACCTTGAGGAACTGGAAGTGGGAAGACAGTAAATGGCAATTAAACAGCAGTGAAAGTGACAAGGACTGAACTTTAAGAAGAATGTTTGGTGGCGTGAGCGGAGAAGTGACTGTGTCCAATCCGGAGCAAGCCTCATTCCCCTGGAGGGGCAGGACACAGGCAGCCTGGATAGAATTCAAAGAAAGAGGAGGCAATAGGAACTGAGGCTGAACAGGATTTAAAGCACAAGTGTTTGTACAGTGTGTGTGTGTGTGTGTGTGAGTGAGGGGGGGGTGGTTATTCGGATTTCTACAGGAAGAGTCCTTGAATAATCCTAAAAATACCCTTTGATCACACCTTGAAAATAATTTTCCCCTCACGCCATAAAAAAACAAAGCCCTGGGCTTTCAAAATGCATTGAAGCTTTTCATGGCTGGGGGAATTGGAGCAGGACATGTTATGTGGAACTGAGCCACCCCCCAAAAAATTGGGCAGGCAGGCAGATTTATCTATTTGTTGGCCTATTTAAATGATCGTCCTTTTCTGCCTATTTCCTGGTTTTTAGCCTGGATCATCTGACATGTTTGTGAAGGATTTCCCCCCTTCCTCCTCCCCTGTTATCCCACACTCTTCTAGATCTCACTGAGGAATGGCAGATCTTGCATTCACTGCTGAAATGTTATATAGTTCTTGTTCCCTGGATTGTTTTTTTGTTTGTTTGTTTGTTTTTTAACTGAGGTCTTTAATCAGCAAAATAATCAGAAGCACAGTAAATGAGGGGAGTAAATTATAAGGGAAAGAAAGATGCTTTATGTGAGAGGTACAGGTGGCATTAAGAGTGTGTCAAGTTTCCCCACTCTTCCAGCAGTTGCAGCCTGGGCCGATCATGTGCAAATGATTGCCTCAGTCAGAACATGCCCACCATAGAATTCTGGGAAGCTCCTGAGAAAAGGACCACTAAAAAATATCTGAGTAGAGATAGGCCTTGTCCCACTCTCATGGAATTCAGTAGCAAAACTCCCACTGCTCACTTTGATGGGAGAAAGTGTAAAAGGGAAAGCGGAAGAGAGATGAAACATATCTGAACAGAAGACACGAGAGAACGCCATGGGTGGCAAATAGAGAAACAGAGAGAGGCCTCAAAGTTTGGAGGGTCTCAGGTCAGTGTCCACATCATCAACAGACCACCATTTTGGCCATCTCAGTTTGAAGGTGAAAAAGTGAATAGGCCATGGAGACTGAACTCCCCACTTGCTCATAGAAAGAGTCCTTCCAGGGTAGGGGTGTGGCACATTGGCAGGGGGGGTCATGAGGGAAGCCTTTCTCTGCCATTGCCTATGCTATACCTATCCTGGATTCAGAGGTGATCAGTATCTAGGGTTATCCGTTGTCTGAGCTCTGCGGTCCCTCCCGCACCTGAGTGGGCAGGCCTTTCATTCTGGTGGGCCCAACCCACCAATCCCAGTCATCACATAGTCTAGCTCCTTTCACCAGCACTAGACTGACACCAGCATTAAAAAAGAGAAAGTGACCTTTTTGCCTCCTTTGTTTCTGGTATAAATCAATGAGCAAGAGAAAGGAAATAAAGGGGCTGATTTAAGATCTTTCGTTTTCCCATGGAGCCAGGGTGCTCCTCCACTAGGAGGGCAGGGTCATTGCCAAGAGGAAGAGACATTGTTCAGTAACCCATTAGCTAAGGAGAATTGTAGAATCTGGTTCAAGCCTTGCTTAGGGCCCTAAGTAAAACAATGGAGTTGCTTTGAGCGTAGTACCTAGTGAATGTTTCTATTGAGGTTCTTATATGGCCCTCATCACCATAGTAACTGAGCATCTCCCAGGCACTGGTGGATTTTTTATTCTCACAGAAACCCTGCGAGAAAGCAAAATATTATTTTCCCCATTTTACATATGGGAAAGACAGAGACAGAGGCCAACTCTACACGATAGACTTCTTGCTGGCATAGCTGTGTTGGTCAGGGGTGTAATAAGGTGTGATCTCCGACTGACAGAGCTGTGCTGGCCAAAGCCTATAGGGAGATGCAGTTATACCAGCAAAACGGTGCTTTGTCCTGTATAGCTTCGTTCGCTGGGGAGGCTGGAGTAAGCTATATAAGCTGTGTCCACACTAGAAGTACTTTGCCGGCGTAGCATATAAGTGTAGCTATACCAGCAAGGCGTTCCTCGTGTAGACCTGGCCTGAGGACTTGTTCACACTTGAAAGATTTGCCACTATAGCTATACCAGTGTAGCTATGCTGGCACATCCTTGTAGTGGAGACACAGCTTTGGCCATGTCTATACTACAAGAACTATAATGGCATAGCTACAGTGCCAGTGTAACACTGTAGGGTAGATGCAGCCTACAGCAAAGGAAGGGGTTTTTCTGTTGCTGTAGGAACACCACCTCCCTGAGAGATGGAGCTAGGTTGATGGAAGCATTCTTCATGGAATCAAACTCTTGGAAATATAGGGCTGAAAGCGACCTCAGGAGGTCATCAAGTCCAACCCTCTGCACTGATGCAGCACCAAGTAAACTTCAAGTAAATTCTTCCATTGACCTAGCTGTGTCTACACTGAGGGTTAGGCTGGCCTATCTAGGACATTCCGGGTTGTGGATTTTTCAGACCCCTGAGTTCCATAGCTATGTTGGTTTAAAATTAAGTGTAGACTAGGCCTTCTATGGCAAAAAAATAATCCTTTTGCTGGTATAGCTTATATCAGTCTCCCAAGCACAATAAGCTACACCAGCAGAAGGACTTTTGCCAGCACAGCTATGGTGGCAAAAATCACACACCTAACCAACATGGCTAGGCCTCAGTGGTAGAGCCAATAATTGCATCAGGCTACAGTCCAGTCTGGGGTAATCACAAGACATTTCTATTAGTCTGTACAACTGGTTGTTTCTTCATAGAAGAGACTAAGGGTAGCAGAGTGCGCGAGTAGGAACTCACGTGCATTTGCAGAGCTATGAGAAGGTCAAGGACTGGAAGAGCAAGAGGTGCCACATGTTAGGATGGCAGCTTTTCAGGAAGGTCCCAGGAGCGGGACAGCAGTGAGTGCTGTACATCAGGTTTGAGATGCCTAGTTGGAGTTGGGAAGGGTGGATACAGGACTGGAACAACAGGGGAAACTGTGGGTCTGGCTTGCTGTACTAACGATGTGGGGAAAGCATCACAGCCCCTGGATTTAAGCAGCATATAGTGTCTGATGTTCATATTCTCTGCAATGCATTGGAATCACCAAACAAGGAATATTATTAACCTTTCCAGTTGTACTAGCAGAAAAGAATGTTAACGAGAAAGAATGGCCAGGAAGTCATCTGCAATGGTGGTTTGTTTATAGTGAATGGTACTGGGGCATTAAACATGCTGTGAAGCAGTCAGTATAGAACTGTGGTCTTGCTTACAGTGCAAGCAGCTGCCTCCTTCCAAGAAAAGGCAGTGACTTTATAATAGAGAATATACTGTGGAGGGAGCCTCTGTTCTAAGTCAGAAGGTTTCCAAGGGCCTTCTCTTGAGTACAGGTCTTCATCTGATGCTAGACCCATGAGGGAGGAAAGATTGTATACAATTTCTTTCCTCCAGGGCTGTGGAGGCTGCCGGTGTGATGGGGGTCAGGGCTAAGATGGAGGGAAAGATTATTACATTGTCTAAATTCCTCAGATCATGGTTTCTTCACCCTAGCCTGCTCTTAAGGTGACATGGTCCTTAAGGCTGGCAACATTGAAAACTAAAGTGACCCATAAAAGAGCCGCTCAGAGATGCAACCAGGGTTGGCATTGCTTACCCCTAAGAAGCCATTACTGATGAGTTGCCTGTCTGTCTTCACTCAGAGAGGGGGCAATGCAATTAAGGAAGTGGATGAGTGGGAGATGGATGTGTAAGGACAATCAGCTCCAGATCACAAAGTGGAACAGGAGAGACCAGGAAAAGATTCATAAAGCTGAAAACCTGGTGGTTCTCCATCTGAAATCTCTCTCCCTTCAGTTCTTCTTCACACTGCATTTTGTATATGTTTTGGTTTACTTCACTGACTATTCTAGAAGGGAGGCCCATCTCAGGCCCTACGGGACTGGCATAGAAATGCTAAGGCAGTAAATCCCAAACTGTGGACCACAGAGCACTTGGTCTGTGGTGAGCTGGCTTCTTTCATGGTTCTAATACTCCTCAGTATTTCCACCTGCTAAATCAGATTAAAATAAGTTAAAAATACATGTACTACTTTAATATTATTTTTCCCATGCAAGCAATTGCTGTGATTTCCATAAGAGTGTTCCACAGCTGTGGATCAGAGGATTGGATCAAGGCAATTGCAAATGGGAGAGGAAGTCTGGCTTGTACAGTTGTGAATGAGGGGTTGGAGGTGGGTCTGTATGTTGACAAATCAGTGAGACGTGGGGGCTGTGTGATCAGGAATGGGTGGGGAGATGAGGGCTGAGTGATGGTGAATGGGAGAGCAGATGAGTCCAACTGATGAAGAGGAGATGCTCCACACAATCACAGGTTGTGGCGGCCGGGGGGGGGGGGGGAGAAGAGGAGATGGTCACTTAGACAAGCTCTGTATTAATACATGGCACGTGGGCTCTATTTTGACAGAAAGACAAGGGCTTCCTGAACCAGTAGTATAATCACTGATAAAAGTGTTGCCCACTCCTAGGAGTTTATCATCAGGAGTAACACGATTTTGTCCACCACTGCAGCCAGCCTCAAGATGAATCCAGAGGCGCCTACCATCATGGGAGAACTTCAGCCCTGCCTGGGAGGGTGGGGTCAGAAGTCCCCTCTGATTAGTTGCCTTCCCCACTGCCCTGCCTCTTGGAGAAGGGCAGCTAATCAGGGCTGCTGCAGGAAGCAGGAAATATTCTCACCCCTCCCCTCAGGAGCCCAGAGGAGTTTTGAGGAGCAGAGGCACCATTCTTACAGGATTGGGGAAGAGGGAGTGAAAAGAGCCCAGCAGCTCAGGTGGGCTCCACTTCCCCCTTCCCTTCTCCGTCCCTGCAATGCCAAGCCCGGAACGGGGAGAGAGGCAGTGAAGAATCCATGGAGTTGGAGGCCTGGAGCTGGAGCTTCCCCCAGGCAAAGGCCCACTTAGTTATGTCACATGTTCACATCTGCAGAAAGGTCATGAAAGAAGCAACATGGGACTTGCCAGCTATGATTATAGCATCAGGATGGCCAAATTTACTGACCCTGTGAGCTGCATACGATAATCTTAAGAAGTTTGAGAGCTGGACTCACCTGCCAGGGCTTGGGACTTCAGCCCTGCTCAAGCCCCAAGCTGGGGCCTGGCAGGTGCCTTCTGTGAGGCTGAAGCCCTGAGACCCCCCCCTCCCTGCAGGGCAGAAGCCCATAGTGCCACCACCCTGCCACAGGGCAGAAGCCCCGAGCTCCCTGCACCCCAGTCTGGTAGGTGGAGAATAGAGTGGGGACTTAGGGGGCTCTGTGAGCCACACTAACTATAAAAGAGCCACACACTGCAGTTTGGCCACCCCTGCTATAGGGTCTATTGCCAGAAGTCAGCAAATACCCTGGTGAAGTGGAAAAGCCTCTCAAAAGGAGATTGCAGCAGTGTAAGGCAGCCAAAACCTCCTTTGAACTGTGGAGCATGCAGCCCACACAAACAAGATCCCCAAAGGAGGACTGCACTGCATGAGTCAGGCAGCTGTGGTCTTTTACAGTGAAGGGATTAAAGCTGCCCTCCACTCTCCCTGACGCTATCCCTATGGGGGGGAGCGCCAGCTGCCCACCCCTCCTGAGCCCAGCGGCCCTCACTGTCCGTGCAGTTTGCATCTCGCTGCACCAATGGCCCTCCTATGCTTTCCCAACAGAACTCAGAATTCACTGCAAAGAACCGCCTGTGTGGATCAGATCTGGCAAGCCAAACTAGACACAGGCAATCCACCTAGGGGTAGTTTTTTTTGAAGTCCTCAAGTACATAACTCACTCAAAATCCAATGGACAGAACCCACTTCTCATCCCCTGAGAACACACCTCTAACTGAGCTGGTTACTACCTCGCCTTTAAGGAGCCAGACCTGGACTCTGCATTCAGCAGGCACCCCTGGGATTAAGGCAGACAACCACTGTGCTGTTTTTCACGGGGAACAAGGCCTGGTATAGTCCCATGGGGAGAAAGAGAGAGAGAGAAAGTGAAAGAATGAATCTCATTAAATGGTGTGAGGTACTTTTCTCATTCTCCTGTCAAGTTCGAGGCAAAATTACACTTGGAAGGAGGGGGGACGGTGAAGGCCCCCTGGGACGTCCACAGTCCCTTGCACAAACTTAATTTCAGGCTCTGCTGAAGCTCTGCATTTTATAGATAGACACACGTGTTTAGTTTTTCAGGCAGCTGCATGAAAATGAGAAAGACCTTTGGCTGTGAAGATAGCCCTGCGCCTGGTGCTTAAATAGCCACTCTAATATTGTTTCTCTCCCCCTTTCCCCCGCACGCCACTGCAGCCGAGCTCAGGCAATTTTAAAATGCCTGCCATCTTCCTAGCACACTTCAGTGGAGCCAGTTGACGGTTTTAAAAAAAATAATTAAGTTAACTTTTCTTTCCAGACATTGCAGGTTTCTAAAGCAGCATTCACAGTGGGAAATGGTGAGTGGCTCAGCGGTTTGGTCTGGGACGGAGCTGTGAAGTTCTGACCCAGATGCAGATCCCAACTCCAAACTTCCTCACTATTTGCAGGATGTGTGGAGGAAGGATTCTGGTTCAGTCATTAAAGTGAAAATGGCTGGGACCTTGCTTCTGGTTTAATGGGAGCTTGGGGCAAAGGTTCCAGGTGACTCAAACATCCTGACAGTACAGGGTTATAGTGTTACCTCTTTTTGACCCAATCAATTAGCCAGTTTTTGGGGTCCTGTGGGGTACAATTAGGAGCAGAAATGGATGATGAGTCAGGTATTTCTTTGATTCAATCCTGTTTATTTACAAAGAATGTACAGAAGCCTGTTTAAAAAAAACCACCAAAACGCAGGGACTCAAACAACAGGAGACAGTTTCTTAGCTCACAGTTCTAAGCCCCTTTCCAGCCAGTACTTAGCCCAAAAGCGTGCTCAACTTTTTTCCAGGGTCACTTTACCAGTGCCTCTGTGACTGTATTCTTAGCTTTGTGCAGCTTCTTTCTCAGCTTCTCACAGCAGACTTACAAGCTCCATCAGTCAACGCCCCCAGCCTCTGCATTTGCTATCAGTCAGTCCCCAGGAAAACCACTTGGTCCACATGGTTCAGCTTCTACTCAGACCTTCCCATGTGGCTAGGGTTTGAGTGGTGTTCCCATTGTTTCAGCTATGTGCTTCCATAAAGGTGTTGTTACTTATCCTAAATGAGAGGCAGCTGTTACACCTGAATGGGAGGAAGCTGTTAGACCTTCAACAAGCTCTAACACAGGGATCTCAAACTCAAGTCACCACGAGGGCCACATGAGGACTAATACATTGGTCCGAGGGCCACATCACTGAAAGCTTTTCATATGATACAAAAGTATAGTCAAAAATGAAAAAAAATGAAGAGTAATAGTGTGCTATTAAAAGTCAATGTATTAACTTTTTTAAACTGTAATGTGAAGAGGGGTTTTAAAAAAATATGAACATCTGTAACTATTCCTTATGTGGTCAGTAACACTGATGATGATCTACACTAACAGTCTATCAACATAGCTGTAATGGTAGGAACTTTAAAGTAACTATTCATACAAAATACATTGCCACTTAACATTCTTCCCAACTACTCCCAGCAAAGAATCATACATGCTGAACTTCACACCTCAGACTGCTTATCTAGTCCATGAGGCCCCACCCCTTCCCTGTCCCCATTCCAACCCCTTCCCAAAAGTCTCCACCCCAAATCCCTGCCTCTTCTCCACCTTCTCCCCTGAGTGTGCCGCATCCCCGCTCCTCCCCCATCCCGGAAAGTCCTAAGCACTGCAAAACAGCTGTTTGGTGGCAGGAATCACTAGGAGGTAGGCAGAGGAGCAGGGACACAGTGCTCTTGGGGGGAGCAAGGCTGTCTGTGGAGTCAGTGCCTATGGTGGTCCACAGGAAAACAACTCTGTGGGCCGCGTGTTTGAGACCCCTGCTCTAACACAACCCATAATATGCATAGGGTGTAAGCAGGGTCTAAATGAGCTCTCCCCTGACATCTAGTGATGAGCTGGGGGAAGACTTCAGGAACAGACTGTATTTGCATAAACACACCTACTCTGCCTCAGTATTCAGCAGAGAGAGCTGCTTTGCCAAAGTGATCAATTTTGGATGGTGTTGGATCACAAATCACTTTAGTGTTATCCTGATTGTATGAGCGAAGGACAGCAGAACGGTCCTTAGCCTAATCTGAACCTCACTTGCTACGCAGGGGGTAGGGATGCTAAATCCCAGTGAAAGGGGGAGAGAGATGTTTCAACTTGGTGGAGAGGGTTTTGCCTAAGGAGTCCTAGACACAATTTGACCCTTCTCTCTCCACCCTTTAGACTGGTCAGGCTCAATTGAGCCTCCTCCTTTCATTCAGTGATCACTGGAGCTGAAATCACTGATAACCAGCTGCTGAGCCTTAGATCTGCTGTGGGGCAGTGCTGCAATGTAAGAGACGGCACCATCTGCACTAACCGTGAGGTTCCACACTATGCTTTGAAATCACGGAGAGCTGGGTTAAGTGGTGGAACCTCAGGACTTGACGTTGCAGCAGAGACAGACACAGCCGTAACAGAGCACAGCGGCCCATGGTGGCGGCAGCAGCAGCGAAGGCAGAGAGAACAGGGGCCTGTTGCAGTGCAGTGGCGGAGGCATTGCTCAATGCTTTTCTTCCCTGGGGTGGGAGGTGAACTCACGTGAATGCACCTCTGAACTCTGGGTCTTTGCTGACCAAGGACAGCAACTGTGAGTGGGGGGCAGTGGAGGGATAGGGGAGTGGCATGTTAAAGGAACATTTGTCCCTAGGCTTTCACACTACAAGGTGAGAAACTGAGGCATAGGACACTGCCCAGCGTCCTTTGGGGTGGGTGTTTGCTCATGGTCATATGCTTTTGAAAAATGGCTGTGGTGTTTTCCCAAATTAATGCTGGGTTCCTTTCCCCTTTTTATTAAAGCTCTTCTTTGCTATACACAGACTTGTGAGTGGGAAAGTATTGCCTCTTAGAGGCGCTACAGACCAGTGTTTAATTTCCCCAGATTACTGGGTGGGGGCTTGAGCTGGTTCTGTTTTGTACTGTTAA